TAGGTTTGGGTAGCTATTCCTACATGGACGTATTCCTTTACCTCTTCCTTTCTATATAAGTTGCTATGAGAGAAGCATTTTCTGGCACTTTATTACCAAACATACCAAAGGTCAAATATGTCAAAAGGTCAAAACTTTGTTGACCTTTATTGATGTAGTCTGGGTGTAGTGTTTGACCTGAACTCCTCTAAAACAATGAAAGCAGCTAAAAATGTGTACACAGATTGTTCTGATATGCAAGTCTAAAAAAAAAAACTCACAATTTGATATAACACAGGGGCCTAAATATCACAATTTTAACAATACTGAACTACAGACAATGATAGCACAATTTTTTCATTAGCAGAGCTATTTTGTAGATATTGTATATTATTCAGTAATTATTGGTATCTCACTGCAGAATGCTCTGTTTTATACTGAAAGTTTTCCAGTAACGTGCTGAATGCTCTGTTATATACTGAAAGTTTTCCAGTAACGTGCTGTGTACATTAAAATATACTATATTGCCAAAAGTATTGGGACACCCCACCAAATCATTGGATTCAGATTCAGGTGTTCCAATCACCTCCATGGCCACAGGTGTATAAAATCAAGCACCTAGGAATGCAGACTGCTTCTTCAAACATTTGTGAAAGAATGTGTCGCTCTCAGGAGCTCAGTGATTTCAAGCATGGTACTTTGATAGGTTGCCTGCCTTTACGCGCACATGAACTTTAATGGCATCCCAGTCTTAGTCTGTAGGATTCAATATTGAGTTGGCCAACCCTTTGCAGCTATAACAGCTTCAACTCTTCTGGGAAGGCTGTCTACAAGGTTCAGGAGTGTGTCTATGGGAATGTTTGACCATTCTTCCAGAAGCGCATTTGTGAGGTCAGGCACTGTTGTTGGCTGAGAAGGCCTGGCTCGCAGTCTCCGGTCTAATTCATCCCAAAGGTGTTATTATTATTATTATTTACAGGATTTATATAGCGCCAACAGTTTGATCAGCGCTTTACAATATAACGGGAGACAATACAGCAACAATACAGTTCAATACAAGAGGGATAGGAGGGCTCTGCTCCTCAGAGCTTACAATCTAGGAGGGAGGGGATAGTGGTACAAAAAGGTAGTAACTGTGGGGGATGGACTGGTAGAAAGAGTAGAGTAGTAGTGTTCTACGGGGTTTAGGGCAAGACTCTGTGCAGGCCAGTCAAGTTCCTCCACTTCAAACTGGCTCATCACTCGCTTTATGGACCTTGCTTTGAGCACTGGTGTGCAGTCATGTTGGAACAGGAAGGGGACATCCCACAAAGTTGGGAACATGAAATTGTCCAAAATGTCTTGGTATGCTGACGCCTTAAGAGATCCTTTCACTGGACCTAAGGGGCCAAGCCAATCCACTGAAAAACAACCCCACACCATAATCCCCCCACCAAACTTTACACTTGGCACAATGCAGTCAGGCAAGTAATGTACTTCTAGCAACCACCAAACCCAAACACATCCATCAGATTGCCAGAAAGAGAAGCTTGATTAATCACTCCAGAGAACACGTCTCCACTGCTCTAGAGTCTAGTAGCGGCATGCTTTACACCACTGCACCCAACTCTTTGCATTGTACTTGGTGATGTAAGGCTTGGATGCAGCTGCTCGGCCATGGAAACCCATTCCATGAAGCTCTCTACGCACTGTTGTTGTGCTAATCTGAAGGCCACATGAAGTTTGGAGGTCTCTAGCTATTGACTCTGCAGACAGTTGTTGATTTCCGTGCACTGTGCGCTTCAACATGCGCTGACCCCACTTTGTGGCTGAGTTGCTGTTGTTCCCAGTTGCTTTCACTTTGCTATAATACCACTAACAGTTGACCATGGAATATTTAGTAGCAAGGAATTTTCATGGATGGACTTGTTGCACAGGTGACAACCTATCACAGTACCACGCTTGAATTCACTGAGCTCCTGAGAGTATGTACAATCTAAGCAACTAGGCTACCTAATTTACAAAGTTAGCTTTTTTTAGTGATTTTTGTTTTGCAGAAAGAAAGTACATGTATGCTTTTCCATTCAGGAGCAGGGACACTGCTTGCAAAGTTAACCACTTCATGTAAACAATAAAAATATGAGCGCTGGGTGACAACAAGGAAAAACACAGACGGGAGCAGCCAGCATAGAAGGGGAAACAACCTTAGATTCTCCAAGAAATGCCAGAAATAAAAGTACAAATGCGACGCTCTATAATATTTACAGTATGCAGGTGGTATCTCACAGTATTCAAACTTATTTGATATAGTACATGCGGATTAATGTGACTGTTGTGACACAGTGAGCAATAATTAACTTTTGTGACTGCTGTGACTGTGGTACTATATAATATTAACAGCAACAAAGCTTATTGGATATAGTTCATGCGGAGTGATGTGACTGTGGATACACAGTAAGCAAAGATTAATATTCGTGACTGCGTAGCTGGAAGCAATGAGCATACTATGCACCGACTAGATAGTATCACATAGTAACGTAAACTTGTAGGATATAGTTCATACGGAGTAATGTGACTGTGGTGACACAAAGAACAGCGGATAACTTTTGTGATTGCTGTGGCTGGAAACAATGAGCATACTATGCACTAACCAGATAGCACAGATAAATGTGTGTTGGAGTATATAAGACCTACTCCTTGGTACTCTGGGGGTGGGAACTCAGCATGCGGATGTGATCATCAGGTGGGGGTGCTTCACCAGCTGTCATCTATCCAAAGCAGGTTTCCACATCTCAGGTTAACCGTGTCCAGCAGTACAATTTCCAGCCATCAGGGGGATCATGCAAGCAGATGGGAACCAAGAAAGGATCCTTCAGGATAAGGACTCTCAGTGCCAGAAAAATGAGCCCAGAGAGAAAAGAACTCCAATAGTGTAGTATGTTTAATGATCATATAAGAGTAACATCAAGGTAAAGGTAAATTAACAGAGCCAGCACTTACATCTGAGGTAGTTTGTAGGTAATGTAGTTAGTATTCCATGAGAAAGGGTATCTCTCTAACGCGTTTCATGTAATAACACATTTTCAAAAAAAGGGCTACCTAATTTACAAAGTTAGCTTTTTTTAGTGATTTTTGTTTTGCAGAAAGAAAGTACATGTATGCTTTTCCATTCAGGAGCAGGGACACTGCTAGCAAAGTTAACCACTTGTTCGGACACTTTTCAGCTTTCAGCGCTGTCACACTTTGAATGACAATTTCACGGTCATGCAACACTGTACCCATATGAATTTTTTAGCATTTTTTGAGACAGATAAAACTTTATTTTGGTGGTATTTATTCACCACTGGGTTTTAAATTTTTTTTGCTATATAAATGAAAAAAGTGTTTTTCTTACAAAATTTTGCAAATAAATAATCTTTCTTCATAAATCTTGGCCAAAATGTATTCAGTTATTTTTTTAGAAAAAAAAATAACCCAAATTAGTTTATAACCAAAAATTATAATTTTTCAAAAAAAATTTTACATTTCTATTTAATTTTTTATATTATTATTTATGGGTTTTTTTGTTTTTTTTAACATACTGTCACCCTAGCAGTACAGTGGCACTATAGTGACACTGTACTACTTGTGGGGGGTGTTGAAGATTTTTTTTTTTTTTTACACTGATTGCTTTTACATCCATAAAGGCTGTAAAAGCAATCATTTCTCTTTCTCTCTGGCTGCATTCTTGCAGCCATTGAGAAATACTGTGCAAGCTGTGATTGGTCATAGCTTGTCACATGGTACAAGACTGTTGTGAATAGCCTTGTACCATGTGACCTCTGTGATCGTTCACAGATTTCACACGTAGTAAGAAATGATGTCAGAAGTGACATCTTGCTTACACCTTTTCATATGATCACTGATTGGCCAATCAGTGATCACATGATCAGGACCTCACACATCGCGGTGCCGCACGTTCCCAGGGAGCGCGCACAATACAAAATGGCGGGCGCCATTTATGAACGGCAACACGTCCCTGCACTGCCACCCTCCAGCCATTTATATACAGCGGCTGGATGGGAAGTAGTTAATTGATATCTAAATCCAAGAACAAAAATGTTATATTTTATGGCTTAACAGTACTTACGTAGATATTTAGTAGTGGCTGCAGTAGTTTCTTTTAATTTTTTTTCTTTCAGGCTAAGAGTATTTTTAAAAAGTACAGCAAATAAATTTGCAGAAATGTAGTGTCCTTGTTATGTCCTTTGAGATAAAGTGGCAGCTTGCGTAAACTACTAATCCCATCACCTCTCTCCATGTAATGAAGATGAACAGGGGAAGACATGTTTAAAGTCTATCATGGCTGGCAACCATAGCTCCCTCCATAGATACAATGTAGGAGTGAGTGTAACTATCCAGAGACAGGGAGTGTGTTATACATGGTATTGTCAAATAAAAAAATAAACACAGCCACCACATCTAAGGACTGGTAAGCTGCAGCATAATTCAACTTTGAGTGGCTTAGATACTCTTTAAGCAGAACTTTACAACTAGAGTCATCACCTCGTTAACCGTAAACGGAGTCCTTTCTGTCAATGTAAACTGCAACAACCTTCCTCTATCTGCTGAGGAGCACATGCAAACTAAGCAGCATTACAGAAATTATAACCCTTGCAGATGGTCTGCTTTATTAAAGCTGATATGCTTTCCTCATCCAGGTTTCAGTATTAATGGCATAATGTAATATTCCAGCAGGTACCAAGAACTGAAGTATAGTTTTGGAAGTACTGATCCTTTATTGCTCTGTGTGAAACAGGTTGATAGCATCAGTCTGAGACCTTTATGATCTGTATGTGTGCCTTTGTTGCCATGTGTATCCCCCACTTTCCAGGAGCATACTGGACATTTTGCTGGTTTCTAAATAAACTGTCAATGGGTGATGGGGTCACATATGAAAGAAAATTTGTTTATGAAGCACTATTCAGCACATAAATACTCAAGACTTCTAAAACCATTCAAATGTCTATGAATTAAGGTGTTAATGTCTATTGTTCTTGCAGAGACTGGACGTGGCTCACATCATCCATGTGCGAGGGTGTATACATGGAGTGGGACTTTGGTTAAATGACAACTTCTGGGTAACATTTGGCTTAGCTATTGGCCTCCTGGCTCCTCAGGTAACCATATAGACTGGTGGACTTTTTTTTTTTTTCATATAATCATAACTGCAATATACAATTCCAGTCACTGCTTAATAATAACGTGCACAGCAGTTACTACGACTACATCTGCTTTCCAGAAGTTGGTAGCTGCATAGGCTTTAGCACGCTTCCCCTATGTGACCATAACTGGACCTTGCGATAGGTCACCAAGGCACTAAATTACAAGGAAATGGGGGCATGTACCTGTGAAGAGCTTGATGGATTAAAGTGGTATTAAACCCAAAAGCAAACTATTTATTGCAGCTTACCAATTCTTATGGCTGCAATAGTTTTCATTTTTTTTTTTACACTTTCTTTCCTTCATTTTCATCTGGTAATCCAGCCAGTAAGTCTGTTGTTTTTACAAAGGAACAGTACATTTTGCATTACCCCGACCGCTACACTCTTCATTACATCTAGTGGCCTCTGCACTCTGCATTACTTACTCCTTACCCCTGTACTCTGCATTGCATACTACTGACCTTGGAAGTCTACGTAACTTTGGACCCCTGCTCTCTGTGTTATTTACTTCTGACCCCTGCACTCTTTCTTCTACTGTCCTCTGCACTCTGCGTTACACCTTACCCCTGTACTCTGCATTTCATACTACTGACCTTTGAAGTCTACGTAACTTTGGACCCCTGCTCTCTGTGTTATTTACTTCTGACCCCTGCACTCTTTCTTCTACTGTCCTCTGCACTCTGCGTTACACCTTACCCCTGTACTCTGCATTTCATACTACTGACCTTTGAAGTCTACGTAACTTTGGACCCCTGCTCTCTGTGTTATTTACTTCTGACCCCTGCACTCTTTCTTCTACTGTCCTCTGCACTCTGTGTTACACCTTACCCCTGCACTCTGTGTTACCTACTCTTGACCCCTGAACTGTGTGTCACCCCAGTTCTAGAGGTCAGCCGTATAATACATAAAGACAACATACCTCAAAAAGCCCACATTTGTGCATTAAACAGGTTAAAAGAAATGTCGGTCACTTTAACTCAGAATATTCAAGACATTCACTTTTTCTTCCTGTCTTTTTTTCTTTTCTTTTTTATCACAGGCTCTGGGTCTTTGTTTGTCCTATCTATTTTGGATGAAACTCAAGGACATCTGCAGTACATATGACGAGGTGGATTTCAGATCTCTGAAAATGAAAGACTTTAACTTCAAGGAATTGGACCTGAGTGGAGCAGGCTGCTGTCTCTGCTTACCAAGGGAGGAGGGATACATTCCTGTCAATGCAGACAGTGATGATGAAAAACTACCTTAGCACTTATTCTAGCTTCTGATCTGTATGTGAAGTCCACTGGGAAGCTGTAACCGCAGATCTGCTCGATGATGACATTTAACATGGGGTACCTGAGAATATTGCAATGGACTACCCTCTACATACAGGCAAAGCTATTATTAGGAAGTTTACATCAATTCCTGGTGCAATAAGGAAAATGGCAACGTGAAGTTCCCATACAACAAAACAGCTGTTTACAATGTTTACATTTGATCAATTTTTGATATTCTTAGGTAGAGAAATCACAGAAAGTTAAACCTGCTCCAGTATAACATGTCATTCAAATAACAGCTGATAATTGGTTTGCCAGACCTGTGTTTTCATACTAGCACTGCTGGATCCCAGATACCTGCTTGCAAGTAGATGGGGCTTCATAGATGGGGTCAGAGTTTAGAGTGTCACTGAAGTGGTGGGTCAAGAGGAAGCAGAAATTATCCGAAAATGTTGGTATTTTGCATTGGTTTCTGTTTTTTTAAACAAACCTGGAGGACCCTATTGAAAAAAAACAGAAAAAAAATGGTTGGCCACAGACAAAATACATATTTTGAACATTTGTTAATAAATGAAACTTTGGTTGCTGTGAGTAATGTCACAAGTTAATCTCTGCAGAATGATGGTTGGCCTTTGATGACACATCATACTCCAAACCTAAGGCACCATCTTCTCATGCTAGGATAAGAAACCTTCACATATATTTTTTGTGTGACCCTGATACAATTCAAACAGCAATGACAATGTGAAAAAACAGTAGGATTGGCCTTAAAGTGGAACTAAACCCTCCTATTATTTTCAGCCAAGGAAACTGCCATCTTAGCTTCTGTTTGATCTTCAACTGCCATGATGCTACACATGTGATCAGTTATGACAACAGCCATTTATTTGATGGTTAGACAATTTGGTTGAGAACAGAAGCAAATGTGATAGTTACATTCCTGGCACGTGTTGGGAATGTACCTGTTTTTGAAATTGTTAAATTGATGGGTTTAGTTCCGCTTTAAGGTCTGGTTCACACCGATGCAATTTCGCAGTTGTTGTGTCTTCCCAGTATGCGTTGCCCTTTTTTTTTGCTTATTTTTTTTATGTGTTTTGCATTTTTGGAAGGTGTCTGTTGTCTTGCTGAAGAAACCAGCAAAAACACAGCAGAAATGCATAAAAAATGCAAGCACTGCTTTTTTATTTATGAATTTCTGCTGTGTTTCCATTGAAGTCTATGGGACCAAAACCAGAACCTGCCGTGGGGAAAAAAAAGTCCCTGACCCTTTCCAAAAAACGCACCAGTAGAAAACGCAGAGATGTCAACATGACCTATAGGACACCATTTTAAATGGATTGTAGTGTGTTTCTGCAAAGTTGAAAATGTACTGACAAATGCATAGGTGTGAACCAGGCCTAAGCTACCCATAAGTGGATCAAATTTTAGCAGGGACTGGCTGAATTTTGATTCATCTATGGCTGTTCCCACTCAAGTGAAGCCGATCTAATGATTGACTTCTGTCAAACTGGACCATTGGAAAACTTTTGTTGATCAGCTGGCTGCAGCCGCTGATCAATGTATTCTGACATCTGAGCAGTCCCACTGTCAGAATACAATAGCACAGAGAGGAGGATCCCTCTATCCACCTTGCATGTGTGGATGGGGGAATCTGTCTATGGGCAGCTTTAGACATGTGATAGCAGTTGGAATAAAAGGCCTGCCAAATGGTTTATTAACATTCCCAGATAGCTATTATTTCTTTAAAGGCAAGCCACCAGGGGCATCTGCAAGTCCAGCTCATGGATGTGACTGGCTTTACATGGGAATCAGGCAGATTTAGATTTCCTGACATAAGAGCAGTAGCATGGAATGTTACATTCTCCAGTGATGTATTCCTTAAAACGTGTACGGTTCCTCTGATCAGAGTCTTGAGCAGAGCTGTGATACAGTTTGTGCCACCTAAATTAGGAAATGAAAGGCTTTGTTATTTCCCCCATAGATACACAATCGTGTGTGTGTATAGTGCGTGTTGAGTGTGTATATTATAGAACAGAAATACTGTGGTCACTATTTACCCTAGCAAAACACAAATCACTAATCGTACATTGTAGCAATAAATGGCATTTTGCACTAATGTCCTTATTATCTGTGATCCCTGAAAACCTGCTGCCTTACGTAGCTGTCACAGTATTTGTGTGGCACTCTTCTGATCAGCCCATTATTAATGTATGTGCCTTTAGTTGGTAAATGCCTACTCCTATCACCCAGTCTTAACAGCTATTAGTTTATTATTAAAGTGGACATATCACCAACAATTTCTTCATGTTAAAGTGAACCTTACACCCAACTATAGCTTTAACTGTATTCTTCTCTCAACCATACAGGCTGGTCCTGCTGTGGCAACGGTAACCCGCACTGACACATTATGACATATTGGGATTGATTTGCTAAAACAGGAGAGTGCAAAACCTGGTGCAGTTGTGCTTGGTAACCAATCAGCTTCCAACATCAGCTTGTTCAATTAAAGCGATACTAAAGGTTCTTTTTTTTTAAATAACAAACATGTAATGCTTACCTGCTCTGTGCAGTGGTTCTGCACAGAGCAGCCTGGATCCTCCTCTTTTCGGGTCGCCAACTGGCGCTCCTGGCTCCTTCTTCCTGTTGGGTGCCCCCATAGCAAGCAGCTTGCTATGGGGATACCCGAGCAAGCACACTCCCAACCTGCTGCTCCGTGTGTCCATTCACACATGGAGCGGTAGCTTGGTTCCGCCCCCTCTGTCTCCTCATTGGCTCACTGGCTGTGATACTGCATGCATTTGGAAGCAGTCACATTTCCACCTCCTCTATGCTTCCCCTTAGCCGTTGGCAGTCAACAGCCATGCTAAAGTTCCCAGAAAGCAATGTATTACCTCTCTGTGGTACAATCAGAGCCCTGTAACGGAGCTACTGTCAGTCCCAAGGGAGGATGGATGAGGCTGGCTGTGACCAATTTCTTCCTTGGGGGTGACAACCACTGAAGTAGAAAACTGTGACTCCATGCAGTGAAGCAGTCTGAAAGCCGTAGTATAGTCCACAGGGCATAAATGTTTTAGAGAATTCAAAAGGCAGCATACATTGTTGTCACCCTAAAAAAGAAAATGCACACTCGCCAGTTTTACTGGCAGGATCAACAGGTATACTTACCATAAAGCAATGGACAAAATAAAAGGCATTGTCCTCCATAAGCCTGCAGTGCTTTCTATTTTTATTTTTGCTTTCGGATTTGTGCGGTACATACAATTGAAATAATACAGGCATATTATTGCCTATATTATTTAAATGTATTTAAATTATTATTCTAAAATTAATTATAAAATTTACTGCTGACCCCCCATTTCTTTTGTTTGTACTTGACTCACAAAAATGTGTAGAATAGTATATGTTAGCTAATTTAGCAAAATCACAAAACTGTTCTGCAAATCCCCCACGTCAGCTAATTTGTTGCTAAAGCCAGAAGACATTTTCCTTCTAGTATAGTATAACGTCCTTCCACTTGGTACGCTGCATGTGTTTGTCAAAAGTTGTGACACACCTAGAAATTGTAAAATGTTGAACATACTGGACCATTTCTTTTTTTGCCTTTTGTAAGCTTGTGTTTAGTGATGTGACCATTTCTTTGCCACACACAGGCATTTGGAGAGTTGTTTTAAAACGCACAAACAGGTAGAAGAATTTGCTTGGGACAAA